GGAGGACGTGCACCAATAAATATTACTTTCAGCGTGTCGCATAAATCGTCCATTGCCAGTGGTAAACTGTTAGCAATATTCGGGATATTTTGAAGAAAAGTAATACAGTTGCCTTTCAACGTGTGTGAGAGGACGGGAGAAGCCATGTGGATACCAAATGGAGAATTCTTTGTTTCCAATAGGTCACAAGGAGTTGAGAGTGGAAGAGGTAGTCTCATGGACTACCTGTTGAGAGACGGAAGACAGGCGGTGAGACCCATCGGTTATGGATTCCATCACACTGGTCGTAATGCTTCTGGAGAGAATGGAAATATTCGTCGATACAGAAGTACCCATGCCAGTGTGATAAGGAGAGTGGAAACGATCAGATTGCACCGGCACAATCCTCTGGTTCGTGCAGAACCAGGTGCAGTCGGTACTGGGAAAAGGCGGACTGTTGCCCGAAGAGAGAGACGGGAACGCGCCCATGAACTCCATCATCCCACGACGTCTCCACTATCACCACCAACAACAATAACACCACCAACATCGTCATCATCAGAATCAGTGGTGGTGGAAGACAATAAGCAACAGGGGAATGATGGAGAGGCCATCAACTCTGCCACCTACCCACCTCAACGCACCATCATCGTCTACAATAGCAATATGGGTAGTAATCACAACTGTCAAGAAGCATCGAAAATGGCTACTCTAAACCTCTCGGACGACGAATCATTATAAGGACATGCGGCCCTTAAGGCCAATGTCAACTCTCAGCCGATTGACTAGCAGTGGCCCTTCTGGCCCTCTACTTTCCTTCTTCTGGTTCTTCTAAATTTCTGCTTGAGTCGTCCGCTTTAAACAAAATTTTAAAAATTTATTTTTATCTTTTAGATTCTGAAGACGTTAAGTCAAAACTTAATAGAAACCGGTCAATAAATTACACAAAAACAAAAAACAACATCTTTTCTTCCTTATTATCATCCTCTTCTTCTCATCATTCTCATCATTATTATTATCATTATTAAAATTAATTAATTAACTCCTTTAATTTTAATTAATTTTTTGAGCGAGTATCTTCTTCTTCTTTTTGAGAACAAGAATTTTAAGTTAGTTTCATCAGTGAGAAATTAGCTTCTACTCTTTCTGCCTTTTTATTTCGAATGATGTTTTTTTTTTATTTATTTCTTGACACGAGTCGCTTTTTTCATTGATGTATATGTGTCTTAACGAGTGATTCTTTATCTTTCGTTTGCGATAAGAAGAATAGTTTTCTTTTTGTTGTGAAACACCGATGCATACTCCGAATATTTAATTCTTTCTTGTAAGAAACAATTTTCTTCATTCACTTAGGAAGCTCATAAACTTGTTTTAGACTCGGTCAAATGTAATATAAAATTTCAGCCTTTCGTTTTAAGCATAGATAAAAATCAAATACTATTTTTCTTTGATGAAATCGCGAGAGGCAAAGCTTTTCCTTTTTAACTGGAGTATACATACAAGAGCATACTTTTTTGGGTGAAATGCAGAAAATGGTTCTACTTTTTCGTTAACTAAGATCTTAAAAATATAAGTCTCTCATTTAATTGAAGCGGACGTGGTTAAAATGTAAAGATGTGCTCCATAGTAGACACAGGCATCTCTGAGTTGGATACCACAAAAAAACTGTTGCGAAGAGAGATAAACGAAAGACTTCATGGAAATCGTCATACATTGTAAAAAAAAGTTTACTACGGAACCCATAAAAAAGTTTTCGTAGGTGCCGAGTAGCTTTCGGATGCGTCAACATGTCGAAAAAAATGGTTTTCAAAATCTAGGAAAACCTAAAAAAGATCTGACCGTGGGTACACGCGCCCAACCATCGACTACGAAGCCTTTTTAAGTTTCGTACAGCAAAAAAGAGGTTTAGTCAGAATATTTTTATACGAAACGCTAAGGTTTTGAATTTTGTGACGAAAAGTTTTTCGTTGTACGAAACTTAAAAAGGTTTCGTAGATTTTGGAAACCATTTTTTTTCGACATATTGATGCATCCGAAAGTTATTCGACACTTACGATACCTTTTTGATGGGTTCCGTAGTAAACTTTTGTTTACAGTGTATCTAGTAGGCCTGAAGTTTTTTGAACTTTTTAAAAATAGTTTCATTCCATTTTGAAAAGGATTTGGAAAAGGTTTTGACCACTTCAAAAAAGGACTAGAAAGCATGTATTCGTTGTACTTTTAGAAACTCCTTGATGGTTTTCATATTATGCGTTTATTTTTACAATACGGGACCTTGCAGGCAATGGAGATTGGTCCTTCCTGTATCACTCATGCAATTCATATGAATACAGAACTTCCTTCTGTGCTATATCAGCTCCCTCAGATGTCATCTTAGCTTGGTGTTCTTCTCTTTGGTGTATTACCGCCTCTCCTTCGTCGTAACCAAAAATTAGAGCATCGAAATTATCGCCCCTAGTTAAAATTGTATTCTCCAAACAATTCTGAAATCAGTTATGAGAAAATATGCCAAAAACATATGTTATTAAGTAACGACGCCGTTTTACTTTTGGTCGAGTCAACGTCTAAACTCTTCTCTTCTCTCTATATAAAATTCCCAAAGAGTTGTGTAAATCAGGTTACTTGGAGAACTGAGTGGCTGCCTAATTATAGTTATGTTATAAATAGATAGTCATTCCTATATATCTATCCATATATATTCAGCTTTAGATATAGCTCTAGATATGTATACCTATGCATCATTCATATATAGATATACATGCCCTCACCCTGTTAGTTTAGGAATACAGGAATAGATATAGTCCCATTTATAAAAAGATATATACACACCCTTTCTTAAGTTATTTGAAAATTCTAAAGAAGACTTTAGATTGATATATGTACTGAACAAACTCTGTTTTCTAGGTAAATCCTTATATAGCCCAGAGAGAGAAGATGCTCAATAACTTTCTTATTTGTCGATCAAATTTAGATAGAAACATCATATTCGTGATCAGCACGACTAGCTCTACCACCCTATATGAAAAGTAAAGGTCTAAGACAGAAAGTTTTTTTCTCGTCCCCGGAAGAGAAGTGTCCGATGGGCGAAAATTGAAAGTTGACTTTTCAAGGTTTTCACTCTCAAAAAAGCTATAGGGTAGTGCTCTGACTACTATAGAAATAAAACTCTAAGCAACTCTTGAAAGAAAATGTAGTGAAATCGTCGTACCACCTTTTGTATTTTCATTTTAATGTGTGCTGATCGTCCATAGTTCTATAAATAATTGACTTATTCAGTGAAAAAATTCCTGAAATGAAGTGGCTACTTATAGATCCTGTTGGATCCTAAAGGATTCTCGCAGATCCTTTTGAGCCCTCATAGACTTTTTTGGATCCTAGGATTCGTGAGGACCCATAAGGATCCCGCTTTTTCTCCATAGTTCAATTCAATCAATGTGCATTTATCATTCATATCTACATTCATTTCTTTGTTTTGATGCAAAATTTTTTCAAAGTTGTATTTTTTAGCAAGAATCAAAAGGAAAGAAATGATCCTCTTGTCTTTGTGTCTTGTCTGCTTCAGGCCATTATGAGACTTCTCGGCGTGTTGGCCCTTATTCTCACGCTATCCTTTAGAACTCATGGCAACTCCAGCATCTGCACGGGAAAAAATGCGACTAGTGTTCCGGTGATGGAATATTGTCAGGAGAATAACGGCACCATGGAGCTTCGATGCTGTTTCATCGACGATATGGAATCGATCATCGCGGTCGATCTAACCGACTTCAATTTGACACAAATTCCTGATCTTCCCTACTACAGTAATCTGATTCCGAATATGCTGGATATTCGACTGAATGAGGAGATTGTTCCACAGAAAGATGATTTTGTCGGCGGGACTGATATCGTCACTCTGTTTCTCCCGCCGCACTACGCGTGTCCGGGTGGAGATCGATGGTGGAACATTATCAACAGTACGACAGATCCACCCGGAAATCTTTGTTCTGGGTTAAAAAATCCCTGTTTGAACAACAGTCAAATCTGTCCGGAGCCGCATTCCTACTGCAGTCCCAATGGCCCAAATCACACACTATGCCTGTGTAAAGGTACTTATCACGGTTACAAGTGTTTGAGAAGTGGACAATTTCCCACCGCTGTCTTCCTCGGTTCAGCGTGCGCTGTAACAGTTCTAACCGCTGCTCTTTTTTACTGGACAACTCGACGACATGTTGGCAAACACCAAGATTAATCATTGTACTACCGCTTTTTTTACAACTTTTCTGGATATTAACGACCTATATTAATATATCCCTTTATGGCCGACTGCCTCATCTAAAAGTCACACCTATTATTTAAAACTTGCTATTGTCCTATCCTTAGCGCTTCCGTCTGGCATAGCCACTTTGTATTCGCTCTCAAAATGGCCCATGTAAGGCATGTATAAAAGTTCATAAAACTTTTGTAACCGATATATTTCTGTAACCATTATAGCAATATCACGAGGGTGATTCTAGGGGGAAACAGCGATACTCGAATACTCCAAAAAGAATTTAGAGTATCGTGGAGTATCACTGAAGTATCGATGCAATGCCAATGAGGCAGCAAGAAGTATAGTTGAAAATGCGACAGTCACGAGAGGTAAATGTAATAGTCCTAAAAATAAAGTTGTGCTGAATGTTGACTATTTTCCATACTTTCAACGATCATAAACGTTAACATATTTTGATGTAGGATGTTATTATGATCATTTCAATGTCAAACTAAACAGTGATCCGCTGAAACATTGAAGACATTTATGATTTTCGGCCCTTTTGCTCATGCAAACTGTCGCAAGATGTACCTTTCTGTGTAGCCATATTTGTATCAACATTTTGCTTTTGCAATTACTCCTATGATATTCATATTTGAAAGAATTTTTATCCTTATCGTCTATGTGTTGTAATACGTTTAAGAAGTTTTGAGTCGGAAGCAAGGAAACAAATGAAATTCTTTTGCAATGTCTTTGATTACTTTCGATTTGATCGCTTGAAGGTGAAGAAGCCATGAAAAAACTCTTGATAGTTATGACTAATCAAAAGTATATTCATGATCAATCAATGATGAAGAAATTGTATTACGAAAAAGAAGCTATGATGTGTTTTTTCAAGCATCAGGAATCATTCACAAGGATTGCTCTTTTCCGGAAGACGTTGTCAAGGAAAACCGTTTGACATATAATTGACAATTACAACAAGTTCTTCTTAAATCATTCAAATCTGAATTTTCCACAATTCGCATTTATTTATGCAGCTACATATATACAGTTTTACGTAATTCTCAGCGTTTTGACAGTATCAAAATTGTGTAATGAGCAATATTCCAACGGAACAGGTCATTATTCTTTCAGAAGAGAAATTTTACGAACATGTGCGAGTACAATATGGAGAAAAAGTCGAAAAAATCTTACGATATCATGATACCGATGATTATGTAGTATTGCATCGAATTAATGAACGACAACTCTTGGATATATTCGAAAAGTCAAACGACGAAAATGATCTTCCTGAATTAATCGATCTAAAAAAAGAAGTGTGCAACATATTGGATGGCAAATTTACGTTGAAAATCGGCACAAAAAACAAAATTATCGCGTTATTGAAATCAAGTCGAGATATCGTTAAGAAAAACAGACGTCAATTAACAAACCAAGCAAAATTAGATCGTTTAAATAATTATCTATCGTCGTCATTATCTATTGATAGTAACTTAAGTGATGCTCAAATGGATATGGAGAAATGCGCAGCAACGATCGAAAATTCGATAGAGAAAATATTGGCGAATATGAAGAACAATGTTCATGGTGATGTTTCTACTCATGTAACGGCAAATGATTTTGAGGTGATAATCGAGACGAAAGACGATCAACCAATGCCAAATTGTTACATCCAATGTGTTTGTGGAGACCGGGTCAAGTTGTTTTTTAATTACAGTCGGTTTCAATTGTCAAACTTTAGGCCCCCCCCCCCACTCAAAAAAAGTCGATTTTCGCTAAAAAAAGCGAAATGAAGATAAATGTATAGGAAGATAGCCCGCGTTTTGCTCTTTCAGAAACAATATAGCTTTTAATTAACAAAAGTGTCTCAAAATGCTGAAATAACATAAAATTTTCGTTTGAAAAAATGTTTTTCGTTTTTTCTCGAAACACGTTTTTTCAGTTTCTTTCAATCGTGCAAACGTTTTTTCTGGTCGGGGGCTCATGCTATACCTTTATTTTTTTTTTGTTTGAAAGAGTGCGTCAAGATGTAGGGCAACATGGAGCCCTTTTTTAAAATGAGTTTTTTTGCTGTCTCTCACGAAGAACTTTTATAAAAAAAAACACCCATTTGTTGAGGGTTTCTTGACCTATTGATCTTGTGACTCCGTTTTCCTACTAAAAAAGTGAGTAATTAAAAAAAAGGTTTTCATACTGCCCTGCATCGTGACATGCTCTCTCTAACAAAAAAAAAAATTTGGTATAGCATGAACCTCCGACCCGGAAGAACGTTTGCCAAATTAGCTATTTTGACCCTTGTTTGGTGAATATCTCCCTCTAGCATCATAGTAGGGCGTTGAAAATTTTACCAGAGCCTCCTCACTTTAGCCTCAACATATGCTAAAAATTTCAGTCCTATTGGACGTTCCTGGGCTGAGATCGGTTTTTGAGTGGGGGGGGGGGGCCTTTATCAAACATCTACGAAATAGTAGTAACAGATCAAAAGCTTTAATGAACACCACAAACCAAGGGCCCAACGATCGAACTGATTCACTGAACGTGAACCAAATGGATATTGAAGAGCAATCTTCAGAAAATGAAAACAACGTTTTACCGAAGCGATAACAGTGAAGATTTAGATAATTCAGCATCAGCAACGATAAAAAAGTCGTGAGTATTTTGAGTATATTTATTACTCTAAGTGTTCCTTTTTGGGGACGATTAGTTTTAGCCAGAAAGACAAATCGATTAATGAATCAAATGGCAATGCACATCATACAACGTCTTCTCAAACAACAACAAATCGGTAAGAAACATTTAAACAAATCTTGATGACATGTCTTTTCTCAAATAGAAATAATAGTCAACGGATTCCTCATGTAATGGCTACAGGTGGTGGAACACAAAGTAATATCTCATACTCTTCATCGTCAAAATCGAAACAAGTAGGTTTGATAGCTTTTTAATACAGAGAGAGTTTTTGCATGAACATGATAACTGTGAGTATTGAGACGAAGTTTTACCTTCTCTAACAAACGATAAAAGGCGAACAGTTGATACAATTCATAGTTAAAATGGAATATAGTATATACGCGAAAAGTATTATTCAGATGAGAGTAGCGATCTTGTATTGGTCTCAATCAGAAGTTCGAAATTCAATATTGAGTTAAAGCTCTCTCCGCTGAAATTGTTGTTGAAAAACTAAGAGAAACAGTTATACATATCATCAGAAACGCAATCTAAGAAAAACATGAAGTGATACCTTTGTTACATAAAGATCATTTTGTTTAAAAATTTTCGTGGTAGTATGAGGTAACAAACAAAGAGTCACACTCAAACAATCGCTCGGCAACAGCGACGCAAAAACAAGTAAGTCGTAAGACAAATCTACTTAGATTTTCTTGTTCGTCGTTATCTATTGCAGGTTACTCATTCCAACCATTCGTCACAACCGAAGAAACGCAAGATCAATGAAGATGACAGACAAATTCGGTATTATTCATCAAACAATTCTAACAAGAAAAGGTCCGAACAAGAGGTCAGTACCGATAAACTGAGGAATAGTATGTATTCTGAGAGGTATTTTGACGCATTCAGATTGTATATGACAGACTCAAGAATGAAGGAAGTTTGTCCACATTTTTGAATACAATTGATCCGAATAGACATCGTTCACCTAATAATTATCGATATGCGCCTTCGGTCATACGATTCGCAGTTTGCTTTTTTATATTGGCGGGCATCTATGTGTATGAATTTGTTCGCAGTAATTTAAAATTCTTACTACCTTCAATTTCTACTATCAAGAAATTTTATGCGGAAAATCCTTACTCAGAGGCTAAATTTAGGTTCGACGAATGCGCGAAATACCTTGAAACGTATCAATGCCAATACTTGTTCATGTCTGAAGATTGCTCAGCAATAATACCCCGTATAGAATACGATGCACAATTCAATTCGTTTAATGGTTTCGTAACTCCTATTCTGGATGGCATTCCAATTGAAAACTCATTTAGCTTCGACTCGTTCGATCATTTTAAACATGCAGTTGACATCACACCCCGTTCTAATCTGGTCAATGTTCACATGGCACAACCGATTCCAACATCTAATTCGCATGTACCAGCAGCAACAGCTTTGTCTGCGTACGGCACAGACAACAAAATAAATTCCATAGATGTTTTGAAACGGTGGTTATATATCTATCAACAATTTTATGCAAAGTATGTTCGGGTTATTGGATATGCTACGGATGGGGATCCGAAGTATTTGCGTGCTATGCGCTTAGCATCAAATTTTTTCGTTAAAGCTCAAACACTCGATATTTACAAAGAGCAACTATTATTTACTATAGACATCCCTCTAAAATGGACACGATGGTATTTTCTGCAACCGTCACAACTCTTCGTTTTTCTACAAGATGGTATTCATTTTTGCACAAAGATTCGTAATAGATTATTATCTTCCAATGCAAAGTTAAAAATGGGATTATTTCAAGTATCAATCAAACATCTTCATGATCTCATAGAAGCTACGAACAAAATTGATCATAACCTTTCCAAATCGGACTTGAACGTGAAGGATAGACAGAATTTCTCATCTTGTCAACATATATGTCACAATAATGTGTTGGATTTATTACTTATGTGCGATGCATGGAGAGGAACATACAATTACCTGTTGGTTTTGAATTTGGTCATAATGGCATATACTCAAACGAATATCCCTTTGCTCGACAGAATATTTTATGCTTTGATAGTTGTTTTTTACATCCGACTATGGAGAATATGGTTGAAAATAACACAACGAAGTCGAAAGTCATCTACACAGTGCAATGAGCAAAATTACTTTATCACGTCCAATGCAATGATTTCAATCGAATTAAACGCTCATTCGTTAATATACCTTTTTCCTATTAATAGCGAATGATACTCTTCCAAAGTCAGTTGCTGACACAATTCATTTGTTCTCATCTCAACACTGTGAAAATGTGTTTCGGGACGCAAGGTCATTATCGGGAATTTACTCTACTCGGATAAATTTCACTATCAAACAATTCCTCAAAAGAACAGACAAGATCAATGCCCTTACCGAACTCAAACAATATGAATTGAACAATCAACATGACAAAATTTCCTTTCCTGTTCACCACAAAATCAGAAAACATCTTCTCAATACGGAATCGAACATTAACGAAACGAACATTAACGAAACGAACATGAATTTTCATTCGAACGCCATCGAGGAGACGATCTTCAGAGCCTACGAAGTGGCTAAAGAAATGGCGCAGAACGTGAGGATGGATATTGATCTAATCAGAAGTAACCTGTTTGATATTGAACAATCGTCGCAAATAGCAAAAAACCTGTTGAAATCAAATATTTTGACTGAAGAAGAAACACTTGTTGTCGATGACGACGACAGTGATCAAGATGAAGAGCGTGGTGTCCGTCGTGAGGACAACGCTGAGGATGATGCAGACGGAGAACCTGGTATCAGCCGTGAGAATGACGTCGAAGAAGATGAAGAAGATTACGACGAATGCTGTGATATTGAACACGCAGACACAGAAATTAATGATGAAGAAGATGAGATCAATGTATCAGACAGTGTTATTGGTGGTCATACTGCGTCAAAATATAAATCAACATCAACGTTTGATAATATCCAAGCCGTGTCATACCCAGGTGTATATCTGAAATTTGCGCTTGATCTAGATTTCTGAAAAAATATTTCATATCATACACAGGTTTCCATGCATTTTTCTCGTGCATATTCTTTTGAAATTTTTGAGATTTATACAATACTATTCTGCCAATACATAAAATGATAGATGCTGTATTTAGTATATAACAGTACAGATAGTGGGACTGTGCCACTTCAGCCCAGGTCAAAGAGTACGTACTGGTTCCCGCAGGAAACCCTCAGAAATCACTGGAACATTGAAGCAGTATTCCGATATGTAGTTTTCAGATTTTTCTGGCGAATTCTAGTCGGTTTCACATGGTTTCCGACAGGAACTGATTGGAAATTATCGGGAAAATCTCGAAATTTCTGGTCGGGATACTGCGCTTCCATGTTCCAGTGATTTCCGCGGCTTTTCTGCAGGATCCCAAGGGATTCGAACGCCGGAATATACGAAATGGGACTCGATAATACAACTGCTGTTTGAATTCGCAATTTACTTTTGTTTATTTTATTTAGGACTTCGATTAAAAAGTTCAATTCCAAAAGAAAATCTTTCAAAATACTTTCCCATCAATATCCAAGGTAGAAAAATGTTTTTGCATAAGTCAACAGCAGCTTGGTATTTGCAAGATAGGCGATCTCGCCTGTCGTGCGATCGCAATCAACGTGTACAAATGAAGGAGAATTGCTCATAGTTTTTTCTCGTATATTAATTTATTGATAGATGTACATGTGTGTACTGTTTTAATTTTTATTTCACACTATTTTTTTATTTACATGTAAACACTTAGCTAACGTATATTTGTTTGAGAATATTTATCTTAACTTGAACATACCTAACTTTTGCATTTAATAAATGATCAAATTGTGCCTCAGATATGTCTAACGGAATTTTCTTAGATAGTAAGACTTATTGTTGATTGTTATTGGTTAATACCTACCCATATTTGTTAATTATGGTCAATCAGCTCAGATTTTATGATCAGTTATATTTTCAGCAGAGTAAGCTGTTGTAAAATACGATGATTATGGATTTGTTTTAATGAATATAAGTACTACTCTTCTCAATATTCATTCTAATATTGTGAACTGGGAAATGAAAGGCTCAATAACCGTATCAATGAGATTCGAACGGAATAACGTATGTATATATGAGTTGAAGATACGCGTAGCACAATGAACTACTGGATAGTCTGAGCAGATTATCACTGAAATACGTAGAAAGATGATATATCGCCTCGAAAGCCTGCTATTCTTCAGTCTACGTACGTCATGAAGTGGCACAACGAAATATAGATGAGGTATTCGTGGAGTATGAGCGGAGTATGACTGGAGTATGCTGGAGTACGCTGGAGTATGATTGGAGTATGACTGGAGTATGGCCGGAGTATGGCCGGAGTATGCTGGAGTATGGCTGGAGTATGAGTGGAGTGCTGGAGTATTGGAGTATCGCTGTTTCCCCCTAGTGGTAACTACTTTATTTACTGAGTTACCAGTAACTAGTAACTACTGAGTTACTAGTAACTGGTAACTACTGTATTTACATTTACTACGTGGTAACTACTGTATTTACATTTACTACGTGGTAACTACTGTATTTACATTTACTACGTGGTAACTACTGTATTTACATTTACTACGTAGTAACTACTACTTAGTAACTTCAAACTTATTCCTTTATATTTCATTAGATAAATAATATGGGCAAAATCAGGCGAAACAGGACATTTTTTGTGTTCTCTCGAATTTGATGCAGAAATGTCAAAGTGGTATAGAATACTTCCATGTAGTCTCTAGTTTATGAAATCAGTATTTAATTTTCGTTTATATGATTCCAAAGGGTGGTAAAATCTTATACACTATAGACACCTTTACACTATGAAAAACGTTGCATTTATAGTATTAACAAGTAGAAGTTTTTCTCACGCGAAGAGGATGTTGAAAATAATTATTTTATGACAAATTGACAGTTCTTTTAAAATAGTATTTTATCAGCAAGTAGCGTTCGTCGTGCCGACTCACTTCACCCTCGACTGTAGAAGACCGATATACTGTCTGCGTGTGCTATTAATGAGGCGAATCAATCTAGCAACTTCACGTACGATGAAACGGTAAAACCTTTTCTGTTCGATTATTTATTAACTCTCGCAAATAAAATAGCTTATTGTCTTTGTAAAACTAATGTGAGGATATAAAAGGTCTTTATTTATTGTGAATTTATCACCAGTAACGCTGGTCGGGTACTCTCGCTGAACGCTCGGCTGATTTTCTTCCCATTGTACTTTTGTCATTAGAACTAAACAAAAGATGTAACAACCCTCTCATCTCGCAGTCGGTCGTCGGCGTCCCTCCGGTCCGCCACTCCCGACTGCTCGATATTGCTCATAGCATGTACACTTTGTCAAATGACAGGCGCCTTTCTCCTTCACCATTCGCACACAATTTAACTGCCTCAACACAATCGGTATAAACAAATCTCCCATCTGCAGCTTGTCTTTCCTTTATTGAACGTTATCAGATACTGACTACCTGCCTTATCGATAGGGACACATAACAAATGCGTCTAAGACGCTCAATGCATGATTCATCCATCCTAGACATCGAATTTCACAATCTGATATCGCGCGCTAGCTATCGATCCATTTTATAANAACCAATGTATTCACCCAAGAGCCACACCCACACCCATACACCCACCCATAGTTTCACCCAAGGCCCCACCCTCAGCCCCCTGCCTTTACCCTTCATCCGCGCTCGTTCTAAGACGAGCACAGTAGAAGTTTTCAATGTGTTCAACAATTGTAGGAAAAAATGGTTTTTTGACCTTTGACCCTGACACAAACAAACAGACAGACAGAGAAACTATTTTATTTCATATGACCCTCTCTACAGTCGAGGGAAAAACTAGTTACATGTTGAATTCTTATGTATACCAATATTTCTACCAAAAAAGATTGAAAAACATTGGCAGATGTGATAAAAATAAAACCTTCGTGCTATTTCATTATAAGAACGTCTTTAAGTGTTCGTATTTCAGTATTTTTATTGAGGAGTACTTAAAAATTTATGAGGAAAATCGTTCAGAAGTATCTGTAAACATTGCAATGTACAAGAAAAGATTAAAAAATAATGTACTAGTCAATGTTAGATTCTTAAATCCGTCACGGAATAAGTATCCTTTATTCCGGTCAGCAAAATATAACTTCAATGCAATATATTACTGTGACATTTTATGTTGCTATTTTCTAGTAAAATTATACTTAATATGAGCCTCGGCTAAAATCACTATTGTCTAGATAAGAAAAGATAGAGATTATTATTTCTTCTTTATAGACGTTGAGATTATATTGTAATTCTGCTGAGCTACCATTTCTATTAATATGTACATAACTATTGGGGCTCTGATGAAATTTAAGGAGCAGAATTAAAATTTTTTGCAATGAATCTTTTAAGAATATGCATGTTAGTCACAAGAAGGTTAACATTCTGTGATAAATCACCAAAGTTTGCTACTAATAATGCTTTATATTCGTACCGTGTCACGGCGCTAACAATTTTGTCACGTCACTAACGGCGAATGCGACTGATATATTGTGAAATTAACCCATAGCTAATAGAGATATTATGTGATTATCTTATAGCTTGAAGGGTTATGTATACAATGTATACGGTAGCTTAGGAAAACTGACTGAAACTTCGCAGAATTCTACGGTTGAAATGCTTAAGAGTAAGTGTCTGAGAAACTCAGGAGGTCTTGGTAGTTCGACATCTCAGATTTTGCTGATTTTTTTATATGTTGTTGGTAGTAGTGAAGTGTGTACCAGGTAAAATTTTCAACTCTATCGGATCACTCCTTCCTACCGAAAAAGTCGAAACATGAGCCCAATTTTTGATATTGGCCAAAATCGATTTTTTTCATTTTTCTCGCAATTTTTATGCGATATCCAAGAACAAAGGTGTCTTACAGGTGTGAATTCATGCAGAAGCTTTGGTCGATCTAGAAAAACACTTAAAATATCGATGGAAACAATGATCTTAGTCGTTTTCCCTTGTTTTCTGCTCAAAATGTCAGTCGTTCGTATTTTACGCGCCAACAAGCAATCGCTCTAATATTTTTACTGATGATAGAGGACACTAAGGCCTATCACGTAGAATAGCTAAATTATTTTGCTCATCGAAAAAGTGAAGCACTTTTCGCAAAACTTATGTATACCCCATATTCACCGTATATGATCGATTTCTATGATTTTTGTCGTACCAAATCAAAAGAATATTCTTAATTAAACACTAAACTTAATTGAAATACAATCTTCTTAGTTCTTTGTACTAATTTCAATCGTTCTTTGTCGAAAATAACGTACGAATAAGCAATTTTGATCTTACCAACTGTTCATTATAGAATTTCATTCTTTTATTGCTTGAAGGTGATTCAAACCTCTCATATCAATTTTCTGGTCGAACCTATGGAGGTATAATAATCTTAAGATTGCGTATTGATGTTGTATTAGGAGCCTTGGTAGATATTATAGCTATGAGTAAAATATATTTTTTAAGAGATAAACCTAAAAACAGCACTTGAAAGAGAGATGAAAAGAAAAGTTAATATTTAGAGTTTGTCATTTCACCCATGTCAAGTTCATCTTCACTGCAACAATTTATGGCATTTTCGATTTCGTCACATTTGATATCTTCCCATTCTTGTTGTTGTTGGATTTTAAAATACTCTTCAGCAGCGTCTTCGTCATCAGTAGTGCATGAATTGTCATCTGGACGGTTCATTACTTTGTTTCGTCGTTCTGTTGTTTCTCCTTTTGTTAATCTACTAAAGAGGCTTCGTATTTGATTTTTTGTTAAGCATTGATCAATGGAAAAGAGTTTAGTATGATCCGGTTTCAATGCACTACGCATTTCTTCATATGCCTTTTCAATCGAAACTTTTTTACCTGTATCGTGACCACGATAGAATAGTTTCTTAAAAAAATCTCGTTGGTCATTTGTCATTTTAGTAGTCTTTTGCCTTCGACGAATTGCATAACCAGGCGAAAAGAATATATGTGGAAATAAATCGTTATCATGTTTTCCATCAACAATATCGTTTGAATTTCGAAGAGACTGGATTGCTTTCTTGTTACACGCTTCTTCTAGAAGTCTCGCTCCTTTCAAATGATCAACGTATAAATACCGACATCGATCCATCGTTGATAAAGAAGATTCCTCATTGTAAACATGTTCACTATTTTGTTCATGCTCTATCAGTTGTTGTTCATTGTCGAATGATGCCAAACATGAATCAGTTGAACAAAAAATACCGTTGATGATAAGGTACTTTTCATGCAAAACTCATTCTTATTGATTTCAGTAGTTGTGAATGGTTGTATCACCGTTGTGTATAAAGTGCAACCACAGTTCGTCCATTTCTTGGATTTGCCAATTCCGATGTCAAAGTATTGCCAAAAGGTGATAAAGTCTTTGTCAAATGAAATTGAATGATATTTAGTTATTCCTTCGATCTTTACTTTTGGTAAAAGACACTTTGATTCTTCAACAGCAATAACAGAGGTTTTACAATTGGGCAAGTTACCAAATGATTCATCTAATGCTTGTTTAACGGATTGTGCGTTGATCAAATTTCCTCCGCGATTTGTGTAAGATTTTAGACATGATTTCGCCACAGCAATATCACGATCAGCTTGGTCTTTACCTCGTTGAGGTTCACTAAAATCAGTTCTTTTCAATTGAATATCAACACCTTCACATAACATTCTACGCGCCAGAATAGTCGCTGTTCCAGAGTAACACCCGGCGTTGTCGCTGCGAGTATATAAATTGGTTAAATTTGGTATATCTGTTTTGATTTGATTAAGAACATGTTCAAAAACACACAGAACAGATGACATATCTTGTAAGCATCGATCAAGGACTGTAAAATATGTGTTTTTTTTAAGCTGATTATTTGTATCCATATAAAAAAGAACATCAACATGGAGTGAAATTCCTTTCTTGCCGAACCAATCATCCATTTTTTCTCTGTGTGATTGAGGTAAAATTTTCATTGCCCAATCAGACAGTAATATGCCAGTGTTCGAATTTAATTGTGACATAGCAAATTTCTTACTTTTGTCTTGTTGAATGCCTCGAACAATATGAAACATCCATTCCATAATATCAGCTTGAGCAGTTGCTAAATCATTGCTCATATCGTCTTTTCTGGATGATGATGGTGCATTAGAAACCAAAGTTGCTATTCGACGAAGTAAACGAAGTAGAGTATTACATTTAATACAGGACATAAAGTGTTCCGTGTGACCACAAATAGCTTTAAAGTTTCTGTCGGTTGAATGACTCAATGCAAATAATCTACAATGAGTTGCACAATTTGAGTTGTTGTCATTAACATTCTGTGGGTATTCGAACTTCAAATAATTTCGACTCAGAGATACCAGTTGTAACATATTCTTCTCTTCATTTTTATTTAATTCCAAATCTCTCACTATAGTTTCAAGCATATCGAAGCCGTTATTTCCATCTACCACAAAACTATCTAATCCACACATTGTTTTCTTCTGTTGCATTTTACACACATCTAACAAGCGATATACGGTTGAGCGACTAAGTGGTCGATCAAAACACGTTTGTATACAATGCTGGTGGTACAATTGGAATATGTGATTTTTCATCATCACCCTAACCACATATGGAACTAATATTTTTTCACCCTTATCAAATCGTAGAAATGTAGTACCATGAACCACATCTTGAATCAGACCAGATGAAAATAAGAAATCGAAGAAAACTTCAAGACGATTTTTTTCTAAACGTGTTCGTCGAATAAGATTTTTATTCATTAAATTGAAACAATGGTTTTGCTGAAGAATATAACGACTTTTCTCTATCATATAACGATTACAATTGAACATCGATTGCAATGCATCATAATTAAATTGCTTGGATACTGTAGATAAAAGGAAATATTTCCATTTACGACTTGGAGCAGAATGGTACGCTTCGACAATAGATTGTGTAGTGGAGTCAAGTTTTTCTTCAAATACTTCAAGAAGATATTCACCTTGTCCAGGTGCAATGGCTTCACAAATAAAACCTGAAAACTCTTTGATGATGGATCCATAATGGCGTTTGAGAGATCGAATAGTTTCAGCAGATAGATCATGAATTGGTTGTTGAATTTGATATTTTAAAAGTTCAATCTTGTTGGATATTGACGCTAATATTTGATTAGCATGATTTAATGATAATTTGTCGGTGTATACTGAACTTGAACTACATTCACTGAATTGAGATGGAGATTGAAATTCAGTATGGGTGTTGATAAGATCATTAATTTGTTCCTGAGCTTTCATTTTTGAGGATCGAGTTGTTAAACACAGATCTTCCTTCACCATTGTAATACTTGTCTTGCTAATGCAGACGGATGTTATTTTTGTCAAACAAGTCCGACAAACTTTTTGTCCAATTGGAAACTGATAAGCTCTATTACCTTTAAAAAGCTCTGATTCTACTAATTTTGTATAATAATCGGCGGGTAATGTATGTGTTCCCTTGGGCTTCTTATTATCATGATATGGTGATTGACATAATTTTGATGCACGCCACATTATTCCATATGAATATCGATGATAAGGACACATCAGATCGTCATCTTTGCATACATCGGGAACACCGATTCGAGACATAATAAGTGATCTTTCTGTATATTCAGAAAGATTCACACCTATATTGCGGCTGTGTTGAACGATAGATTCATTGAGCATTGACAGCATTACCATATTTCCATGAATTCTACCTTTTTGACGTGAATAGACACCACATTTCCCGTCTTTATAAAAGATGCAATCGGCAAAAGTCTTCTTCATCGACATAGTTTGAGTATATTAAAATAAATGATCAATAGATGCTAAGAAGTAGCTGTGAAATAATATCGTATTGAAATAAAATACCAAAATATGTAAACTTAACTGAAAACGTTTCGAAGATTGTTGATTGTGAATTGTTTGCAGATAAAGGCAAATATTTTATCTTATTGATACACGTAGTGAGAGACAAAAAGATATTATTTTATTACGAAAAACAATTGATTTATATATATATATGTATGTATCATGCAGAGAAAGTATTCCTTAGCGAATACTAATGATCACATATATCATATATACAGAAACACAAAGGAGGAGAACACAGCTGAATAGCAAAGAATATACCTATATCGATCAAGGTATAACATAAAAACGAACAGCGTTGTGAAGTGAATATACAGATACATATATGTCATCATAACAATCACAGAGCGATAGAAAACTCTCAAAACAAAAATCTTATAAAAGATATCGACCAAAATAAAACAATTCATTTTAAAATTGCATCGCAATATCATGTACATTTTCATTGAACAGATTAAGT